TGAATATCTGACCACAAGTTCCTATTTAGAGCTGGTTCTGAACATATTGGTAAATAGGATTTTATAATCTTTCAGCAGGCATAAGGACTGTGTCTCAGAGTATTAAGTTTGGTTTGAATATAAATATAGTAAAATTAGCATGCAGCTCCATCACAGATGAAAAGACAATAAATGTCTATTTATGAAGTATAACTGCAATGTCAACATCAAAACACATGTGTTATTACACCAGCAGACATACAGCAGTGTTTCTCCACCTTTTTTTTTATAAAGTACCCCTTTAAAAAAATTATAAGTATCCACTGTACCTACAGTGTTCAGACACACAATTTTTTTTCTACCATTGCAACACATTCATTTAAACAACTTAATCATAGCCAGGAGGGAAATGAAATTTTTGGGAGTAAAAAATACAAAAATAATAAAACGCTGTCAAACTTAAAACAGAAATTCAGTTTTCTCCAAATTTCAGTTGTGTTGACATACTCCCCCAACTACTCTCAAGTACCCCTACGGGTACTCGTACCACTGGTGGAGAAACACTGTCCTACAGTACCAAAACTCTGAGATAAATACACCATCTTCTAGGGATAAAAGGTGGGGGGAGGAGGTTAGACATAAATTATTACAATATAAAATTATTTAGTCCCTTAAGTAGCCCCTGAAGTAGGAGATGGTGGTGAAAATTTATCAGGCCCACCCCTCACCCCCAACAGACTGTACAATTCAATATCTAAATGTTCACGTATTACAGTCCTTTTCATAGAATTGCTGATGGCTTTCTAGGTTTTATAATGCCGCAAAAACATGCTCATCATGCAATCTCACCACAGCAGCTAAGTGTTACTGCCTGCGGGGGTTTTCAATGCAAGCTTGCTTCTACTCTTTGTTCGCAGTGGTTACATTAATGGGGTCAATAAAGTTTGCAGCAACTCTAAGCATGAATCTATACCTTCAAGAATATGATCAGCAAATTCTAGACATGCAGAAAGGACCCCAGCAGCCTACTGTGTGGATTCCCTGCAAAGTCAACCGCTCTGTGTAATGTAAAAGGTCAGAAGGCTGGTACTTTCACAGCAGAAACCACCATTTGATGTGTGAACAGTTCAGGGGAGATCGTAAAGGCCAACAGAAGAGGGTCCCTTATCAACAAGGTCACGTCAATCTAGAGTGAAACTAAAAAGAGTGTATTACATGAAACCACAAACAACACTGTGGATACATTAAATGCCTTGCCCTTTCAAAACACATTGTAGAATATGCACTACTTCAGAACATACAGTAACTATTCTCTTGTAATTTCTCCCAATTCTTTTTAAGGTCCTGAAACTTAAGGGCACTTTATAAAACCCCTGTTTTATATTCCTAAAACCTTATTTTATATTCCTATCATAACTATCCAGCTACAGTTTCCTCTCAAAGGATGTAATATTGTTCTCATCAAAGACTAGAAATACATGTTGTGTTTGCCTATTCCAGCTTCAGTAACAAATATATGCTTCTGTAAACAATAAAAAAGGCTCAGCTAATTTTCTTCTGATTTTTTTTTCTTTCTTTGACAACAAAATGATTATTACAGTTTAGTGTTGCTAAGACTTTGAGCACACTGCATTAAAGGTATCTCAGTAAAGTGCCAGTATCTCCCTGTCAGTGGGAAAGTACAGGCACTAAAATAAGTTCACATAAGAATTTGGGATAAACAAACCTTGAACAGAGGTATGTTGGCTAAATTGTGCTCTGGGGCAAATGTGAAATTCGAGCAGAGGCATTCGATTGATTGATTGATTGAATTAGAATTTGACCGTGTCCCATCCTTATTGCTTTCTAGCTTGGTTGACAAACTCCAGAGCTCCTGAATTTGCACGCATACTTTGACCTATTCTCTGCACCCCTGTTTGGGTGAAGCGAAACTTTTATTATATACATACAAGTAAGGCCTTGCTTAACTTGTGATACTGCGGAAATTGCAGATTCCTCAATATTAGGCTTCCACTGCTATTCTGACAACAGGAGCCACACTCTCAGCCTCGGAAAGAGAAAGCCCCTGTCAGCTGGCAGAGGGAGATAGAAGGCCCTTGCCAGCCAGGGGCACAGGGGGAGAGAAAGCCCCTGCCAGTGGTGCGGCTGTGGGGGAAAGAGAAGGTCCCTTCTGGCTGGAGTGGGAGCTCTGCTGGATGGGACTCCCAGCCCTGAGTCCCTCCTCACCCGCCAACCCTCATTCTCACCCCTCAACCCCCTCAGCTTCCTGCCCTGCCCCCCATATCCCCAAGGCCCTGCCCTGACTCCTGCACCTTCCACACTGTCAGTGACCTGCCCTGAAGCACTGAGCTGAAACCATCCATTAAGATCTAATGAGCACAGACCATACGATTAATTTCCTTCAGTTGCAGAGGAGCGGTGGATTCCTTCCTCCATGTTTCTTTTAACACAGAGGGCTCCTGAATCCCACTTCCTCCCTTCATGCACTCATGGGGAAAGCCAGTATCTAGCCCTTAGATTTTAACATGGGGCTAAATTCAATAAGGTCAACAGTTTTTGTTTGCTTGCTTGTTTGTTTAAAAGATAATTTAGATAAACCTTGTGGGAGTGGCCATGCCTTCCTGATCACTTCAGGTAGGGTTCTGATACTATTAATCAAGCTAAATAGCATTTTACTCTTTGGATACCCCCACTAAAATCGAGGTAACTGCATAAGAAGTCAAACACTATGCAACATGAACAACAGGGTAAGAATTTGGCACAAAAGAACTCTTACATTTGCACCTGATATGTGGTAGGTACAAGCATTGATTTCCATTCCACAGTTTCTTATAAACGATCTGGGCCAGATTTTGTGTGTCTGCTTCCCACGGAGTAGCACATGACTCCGGCAGCCATCCTCCTGAAACCAAGGGGACCATTTGGAGAGTGATGTGCTACTCTTTTTAAGAAAACAGATTCCAATTCCCTATCTAGTGCATCTGTGAACAACCTGGTTTAAAGAAAAGAGACATGTATACATTATTTAATTGAAAATTTAAGAATTTAACCTAAGTTCTGGTACTACTACTGCTCAGTTTTATGTGGTTTCCATCATTACAAACCTTCCTTTTTACTGAAAGTTACTTCATCAACTGAAACTTGTATGTTTAGTTACTTAAAATGGTAAATTGCTTTACACTGTCCTTGAAATGCACCATATAAATATTGTATTCAATCCTTAGCTTACACGTCATAAATAATTTATTTAAAAAATATTCTTCCCGGAGACCATCAGCTGCTGAGGTGTTCAATTTTCTGGTCAAACATTTATTTACATCATGTGTTCTTTTAGCTTAGTAATGATCTGCTAAAAGCTACATCTGGTTGGAGTTATAGGAATTGTATTTATGCTAAAAATTGCAAAATACTAAATGCTCAAATCTGTTAACAGGGTTTATACCAGAATATAAATGTTTTAATGAGTAGTCTAGATGTTGAAAGCTATACAGGGGAGGTTTTCAAAGAGGCCTGAAAATTACTTAAAGCATCCATTTCTGACTATTGGAAAGATTTATATATTGAATTGATGATATCAAATCATTCCTAAATTATTTCTATTTCATGTTACTACACTGAAACTGTTGTAGAAACTTGTTCAAAGTGCCAGATGTTTAAAAAAATCTAGAGGAAATTTCAGATGATTAACTTTGATGAATGTACACATTTTAATTCATGTACCATAATATTCTTGTTAATGACATGTCTGCTTAGGACATCCATTAAAAATCCATTAACTTAACAGAGAAAGTCTAATAAAGTTACTTTGGAAATTTTCTGGTAAATTAACATTATGGATTTTTAATGAATATTTGCTGTAGGTATTGTTACATGGTTAACATTCAAATTAAATTTTGGCCCTAAATAAGTAAAACAGCCCCTTTGAAGACACTATGGGTGTGTCTAAACTACACCCCTCTGCCGACAGAGGGATATAGACTAGGCGCATCGCTATTGCAAATTAAGTGGGGCATAAGGGATCAGTCGGAAAAGGCTTTCCTTGTCGACCAATCCCCATCTAGACTGACGCTTTTTGCGGGCAAAGTGCTGCGGCGGCAAAAAATGGCGGTCATTTCTATTCAAATGAAGCACAGGATATTTAAATCCCCGCTTCATTTGCAATAGCGATGTGCCTAATCTACATCCCTCTGTCAGCAGAAGGGTGTAGTTTAGACACACCCTAACAAAGCAAAAAAAGTTCTCTCAAAATCTGTCATCAACATGGTAGGTGCATGTCACAAGTATGATAACAGTTGCTAAAGCCACTATCGTTATCTTCATCGCCCAATCGCTGGTGTCCCAGTGTCAGAAATGTACTGAAAAAATTCAAGTGCTTAGGTTCTCGTTTTCATCTGTGTCTGCTGTAAAAATCGCTCAATTTTGGGGCGGCCATTTTTAAACCATTTGGGTCTGATTTTCAGGAGTGCAGCTAACCCACAACTCTAGGTGAAGTGGATGGGAGATGTTAGGAATGACCACATTTGAAGAAAACCAAGTCCTGACAACTTGTGTGTCAAGATGAGAATAAGAAACTCTGCCACACTTAAAAATTAGTGGACACATCTGAACTTTTTGACCTAAATGATTTTGCTAAAGCCACAAAGAAGTTGATATCAGTGCTAGAGTTTACAGGAGTCACCAATTTCTGTGTCTGTGCTTCTCCTCAGCTCCCCAACAATCTATTCAGGTACACCAGTAAATGATACCAAACCATTCAACAAGGCTGACTGACTGTCCATGATGATCCCATGTTTTTAAGAATAGCTTTTCCACAGTGATTCTTCTAGCAATATTAATAATTCTGTATCAAAAGGTTTCTTCCACCACATTTCAAGGCATCCACAGGTACAGCCAATACTTGGGAGAGATACCGCTCAAGGGAAAATCCAATCGTATAGATTTTTCTCCAGATTCAGTAAGGACTGATACTTAAATAGTAATACAACATACGGATTTAATTTTTTTTAAATAACTTCATTTACCTATTTTTTCATACTTATCTGCCACCAAATCTTCTAAACCAATCACCTTCCAGAAACTCTCATCCCAGCCCTTGTCTGGGGAATATGTCCATTTGCACACCAATGGACAGAGAGACCTAAGGAGAAAAGACATAAATCCAGAGTCAGGATACTTTTTACACTAGTTCATGAAACTTAGGAAGTTTTCAGGGAGGAACATGATAGCTGACTGGCTACAGAGTGCTTGGGCCAAAATTTTCAAAAGTGACCACTGAGTGACCGACTCAACTAGGAACACTTCTGTATAGTGTGTATTCAAGTGTCAGTGCCACTGATTCTATTTCATCAGAACTTAGGGTACGTCTAGACTACATGCCTCTGGCGACAGAGGCATGTAGATTAGGCTACCCGACAGAGGAAAATGAAGCGGCGATTTAAATAATCGCCGCTTCATTTAAATTTACATGGCTGCCGCGGTGAGCCGACAAACAGCTGATCAGCTGTTTGTCGGCTCAGCGCGATAGTCTGGACGCTCCCCTGCCGACATCAAAGGGAGCGTCCAGACTATCGCGCTGAGCCGACAAACAGCTGATCAGCTGTTTGTCGGCTCACCGCGGCAGCCATGTAAATTTAAATGAAGCGGCGATTATTTAAATCGCCGCTTCATTTTCCTCTGTCGGGTAGCCTAATCTACATGCCTCTGTCGCCAGAGGCATGTAGTCTAGACGTACCCTTGATGCCAGTTTCGTGACACATTGAAATAACATACACTGTGATGCAATCCAGTGCAATGTTAAGTTACTGTTTCAATTAACATTGATGAGAAAACTATTTGAGACAGTGTGTTGGCACAGTCACAAGGACACAGTATAGGTATAAAGAAGAATTAATAATCTACTGTAAAATAGATTTCCCCCCTCCCCTAACTTTCCTTCTAGCAAGAAAACATGAATAACTAAGCACAACAAGATGCCATGCAACAAACAGACTGCTGTCTTTCTGAAAATTAAGGCATTTTACGAGATAATATTTTATTATGCTCTGTAAAGTCAGCTAACCCAAACGGCATTAATAATTCTAAGTGCTATTGAAAAAGTCAACCACCTGTAGATCTGAAGGTGCCATTGCAGTGCTATGTGCCAGTGGGTTGTGCCAAGTCTCATGAAATGTTACATGTTCACTGTGATTAGTTTCAAGAGATGCATACTTGGGAATTATATTTTGTTTAGATTTTATTTTATGAATTATGAATACATGTGTTTTAGCTTAGATTTGCTGTTGAAATATTACTTTTATTGTGATGCTATTATTTAAAGAAATGTTAAAAAATACAAGTGCTCCTTTCCTATTTTATACAACTTATCATGGCATGTTTTGCTGTATCTCCTTGCAAACAAACAAAAAAAAAAGTTATAAACGTCCCCCAAACCTCTCTCTTCAACTCCTTCCTCCCAAAAAGTTCTTATCATTCTAGCAAGGGGAGTTAAAACTATATATAATCTTACTACATATTTTAGAAATGTGTATCTGTCTGTCTATCTGTCCATCCGATATGGATATGGATTTAATCTATCTGAACTGATCCTACCACCATGCTTAGTTCCTAAAATAAGTGTAGTCATTTCAAAGTGGGATTTAAGAATAATCTCTGGCTATTTAATAAGATTCTGCATTGTAATAGGCCCAAATGGAATGGAACTGAGAGTTTTCCTTTTTTTCTCAAAAACATTTGAAGAAACAAATATTGAGGCAACTTTTTACTCATTCCCAAACACAAATCAAATTCTTGGTTTTTTAGATGTGCTATAATATAAATGATTAAGGCAAATAAATGCCAAAGTTATTTTCCCTCTTTTGCTGAAAAACTACAGTACAACCTACTCAGTAGGGATGTTAAGTTGCGATTAATTAGCTAATGGAGTAGTAGATGGAATTTCTATCGACTACTCAATTAGTTGATAAGAGGTGGGAGAGGGGTGCTTGCTACCTCTGCTGCGGCTTTCCAGTTTAAATGTAGTAGGAGCCGGGTTTAAACTGCAGTACTACAGCGGGGTTAGCTCCCGGGGGTGGCACGAGCCAGGACTGAACAGTCCCAGCTTGCGTCAGCTCCAGGACTGCTGCAGCTCTGCCTACCCTTTTCTCCATTCCCCCTGCCTCTTCTTGCTCCTGCTCCTCCCCCTTGCTGCCTCTGACACAGAGGCAGCAAGGGCGGGGGAAGATAGTAGTCGACTCGACTACCCGATAAGCATAGGCTTATGAGATAGTTAACCAGTTGACTACTCCCTTACGTCCCTATTACTCAGACCTTGTATGGTTTCTTATGCAGAGAGCCAAAGCACATCTGAAGAATATCACGTTACATTTTATTCCATTTATTTAGCATTCCCATAACGTTTTTATAATTGAGTGACTCGATGATGCTTATTTACAAAACAGATCTGTAAAAAAATGGTACATCACTCTAGTTTTAGTGACATTTCCCATATGTATGGTTTCCATTCTATTTTTGTACAATAGTTTGCAACAAATGACATGAAGTGTTTTAGCCATCTGGAGAAAATGAAATTGGAATGACTAATTACATACTCATAAACATTGAGAGACACCGATCACTTTGGGATTAGAGTTCTCCAGCTTTCCTCAAACTACTTGCCACACAAGCTAGTTCAAACGAGATTCTGCCTGTACATGTGAGTTGTGCATCTGCCCTCTTTTACCATTCACCTTGATACGAAAACACACATGCCCCAAAACAGAAAGTATATGACATGTAACTACAGCTATGACACTCTTGGTATAAGGAACTCCAATTTCCACGGGTTTAAAAGACAAAGTTGAGTTAGCCTCCTTGACACTAGTTGTCAGAAATGGTATAAACAAACAAAATTCTCTGCATAGGCGCATAATGAATAAAGCCAAATATTTTCCTCCAAAATTAGCCTGATCCTTCCAATTAAGTAAAAGACTCACTTTTAAACCTTGTGCCAACAGCAGCCAGGGCTGGGTTCAGTATCTTGGAGTTCCTCTTCACCCATCCAACATAGAACTGGTTTGAACCTCCACCCAGTAACCTGGAAATTCACACCCCTCCCCTTAGTGCCACTGAGAGACAGTACTTCCCAATTCACAAGCATAGACTCTAGAAAAGAAACTTTTATTAAAAACTAGGAAGGTCATTTGGCATTAATTTGGCAACCAGAGAAACCCAGGGTCTCTCCCCACTTCCAGCTAACTGTCAGGGAGAATTCCTTCAGATCCTGCTTACGCACCATCTTAGGAAGATTTTACATAGAAAGTAAACAAATAACAAATATTGCAGGACTTTCTCAAATATGGTAATTACCAAATCATAGCACGCAATCATTGCAAATGACTAAGGATTTAACTAGTTCTCTGTGCTATTAATTATTATGACATCTCTTTATTTAAGTGCTACTTTGACAAATGCTTTGAGATCTATATGCTGTTGCTAATGTCCTGGGATCACTGCCTATCATGCTGACCAATTTTGTTTCATTGTTGATCTGCATTGCTTCATCTATGTCTGTCTGTATCCATCTACTGTCTATTAGTATTGTACTTAGATTGGAAGCTCTATGATGCAGGGACTGTCATTTTGCACAGCACCTAGCATAACGGGGATTAGAGGGCTATATAGGAGCTAAGTAATAAGGCTTTGAACTCTCTAGGAACCCAATGCATTTCCTACTGAATCTTTATGTGTACTTTATGACATGTAAGCTAAGGATAGAATACAATATTTATATGATGCATTTCTAAGACAGTGCAAAGCAATTTACCATTTTAAGTAACTAAACATACAGGTTTCAAATGATAAAGTAACCTTTCTTCTCAGGAAACCAGACGACATGCTTAAATATTGTACTGTTTTGCTTTTCTCACGAAGACTAGTCTCTAATTTTAGGTAGAGCATCAAAGCAGTTTCTCAACCTGCATTGTGCTGGCATCAAAGGGCCACAATGGCAGTGCACATCCTGAAGTGCTTACTTATAGGGGAAAGCTCAAGGCTGGGAAGGTCTACATGCAGCTGAGAATCAAAGTTCTCCAGAGTGTAAAGTGCATCTCAGTCTTTATTTGTTACCAATTCATCTCGAGGTAAATGTTAACAAGTTAACCGAATCATAAAGCTTTAAACAGTTTGGGTGAAGGCAATCTCAGAATCCCTCTTGCTGGATGTTACCATGGTAGCTATGGTCAACTGAGATGCCAGATGTAATAGTTTAAGAGGCAAGAGTCAATCCTGAAAATCTGTGAATATCTACTTTGTAACCACAGACCATGTTTGCAGATTGGATACGGATACAAAGTTTGTTTCCTGGTGCTGCTTGTGGGGCACTGCAGACCCATCCTATCCTATAAACAAGGGTGGTGCCTGAAGGGACCCCTAC